CCATATTAATTGATCCAATAATGAAAAACAGAACATCTTCCTTTTATTCATGGTGATGAGTTTAATTTTTTCTGATAATATAGAAACAGAACAGAAAAAAAAATTTGCGCGTAAGAGTCGTGCGCTAAAGTGTCGGCGCTGAAGTGTCGGCGCGCAAGTGTCACGCGCGGAAATGTCGTGCCACGTATAACACAATTATATACTATGTTTATATGCAAAACAAACAAAACACGTGTCTTTTCACATGCATATACGCACAGTTCGGGACTGAGGAAGACGAAAAAAAAAAAAGAAAAAGAGAATGGCAAGAATATTACGCGTATGAAACACAGAATATGATATAGTACAATCAGCACACGTCCGACCAAAACAAGTCTTATAGAAATTTTATTATCATAGGATTAGTCTGAATAAGATCAAATAGCATAGAAAAATAGAGCTTTCTTTTCTCTATCGGACTGTATAGAAAAAAAATGATCGAACCCTCCTTTGAAGGATTATCATACCTCCGCAACTACTTTTGGACTGACCTAAGTAAGAATTCTCATTTTAGCGGAATTAAGAATACTATTGAAGTTAAATTATGTTCACATCTTGAAAATGTAAAATAAAATCTTTATTTTTCCATTTAAAATTTTTTATTTAATTAAGATTTATTAACAATATGGTGGTTTTCCGCGTGTTTGTATAAGTGATACAGAACCTGAACGAAAATTTTCTCGTCATGCTTGAATATTATTTGATAATTCAATCCAAATTCGAAACATCTATTATAAACTTAATCTTACAAAAGTAAGTTTATTCTATTTTATTATAAAATAAAAGTTTTATATATTGTTCTCTGTTAATGACACAGTGCTGATATAGTTACTATATTAAATCATGAACTTCAAGACCGCATTCGTTCCTTCAATAAATAGTATCGTACATCATAAAATAATTGTTCATAATGATCTTCAATTAATTACAAAAATAATAAAACAATTTGATGAACGATGAACGATATATTTAAAAAAAAAACTAGCCGAATGTCTTATTGAAGAAGATAATGCTGAAGAACAACAATTAAATTACGACAATTCGACAAGGCAACAACATGATCGAAACCCTGTTACAATTGATAAAGAATTAATGAAAGTAAATAAGATAAATATAATAACGATGCATTTCTATATAAATATATATTTAAGGTACTTTGATCGTGCAATTTTATATTTATATGTTATTCAATTTATTGATTATTACAATGGTTTAGAATATACTGAAGAAGAAGAAAATGTCGATGCATTGAATAAAATGTAATTCAAATTTGTCAAATGTCTTCAATGAATATAAACAATATTATAATCATATTAATAATGTATTTGTATTTTATTCTCATACTTCCTCAATTTGTTAATAAAATCATAAATTATATTTTGTTTTGCTATACAAGTGTGCTTATTTTTGTTGCCTCTTTTGTCTCTTACTCGTATAGAATTTATGAATGTTTGAAATATATAAAGGTAAATATAGGATTACAAATTTCTTTTTTCTTTATGTTAAAATGAAAATTTTACCTGAGGCAGCCATTTTATATTGCAAGTTAAATAGCATATTCATATAACAAAACATTTGGCTGGTAGTTGAATTAAAATAATTGAAATAGTACTATTTTCAATTTTTTTCTATTTTATTTTAATGTATATATTTTGGAGTGGACCGCTGCTAATACTAATCTATATTACAATCAATAGTTCAGATTATGTCAATATTGTTAATGATGAATATTTATATAATCAATGGAAAATTCAAAGAGATACTGATTTTGGATAATAAAACAATCTAAAATATTTTATATAAATATTTAAGCAAGGGATTCTATCAAAAGTGAATTATTAACTTATTTAATATTTTCATAACTCAATAGGGCAACAATCAAAGCTTTTCAATAGATTCTTCAAAGTTTCATATAAACACAAATGTCGAAGTAATTTAAATGGACAACACCTAAAACAGGTAAATTTAATAAATTTTTTTACTGAACACTTTACTTTCTTGCTGTTACTATATTATATTAAATAGCTTCTGTCTCAAATAATATAAAACGTATATGTTCAAAATTCAGAAGATCTATCCTATCATTTATATTTTATACATCGTTCTCAAAGTCACTATCATCATTATCCTCATGATATTTAATATATCCATATGTCAACCTTCTAATACGTCGTTCATATTCTGTAAGATCAATTTTTCGATTAATTAAGAGTTCTTTTGCTTCGATTAAATAATTATCACGATCACGATATGATTTTCGTTGAACTTTTGTAGGACGTTTTTGTTTTATTTCTTGAGATACAGATATCATTGTTCTTTCATCGAGTTCACGTTTTAATAATATATATCTCCAAATATTTGGATGTGGGGCTGTACGTCTATTAGAAAAAAAAGTCAATATACGAATACAATAAATAATTCGAAAAATGGATCTAAAAACTAGAAAAAAAAGCAGAAAATGAAGCTGAATACAACGTACGCATTTATTGAACGATGATGACCTTCAAGAGCATTATTTGTTCGATCTGTAAATCCAATAGAAGCAAAATGATTCCAACGTGTTGGTGGAAATTTATTTCCATATAAATATGTATTTGAAAAATATTGCAAAAAATCTTGAATACCGTTTATACATCGAAGTAATGTTGAAGCAATATTTTCAAAAGCATTGTAAACAGATGTTAAAGGTAATAGTGGAAGTCCAAATAAATTTGCTAATTCTCGTTTAGTTTTTTTTTCTTGAAAAGATTTAACTAGACCTAAGGACAAGGGAATATATAAGGGATGTTAAAACTCAAATAAAGGGAATTTTTAAAATAAAAATAAATCCTATACCAAGCTTCTGAATTTTACGCCATACTGATCGACAATAATGAAAATGACAATATAGAACTGAACTTTGTTTAAACACCGAGAGAAATGCATTTGATGCAGCTTGTTCGAAATCCAACATGATACTTATAGGTTGTAATTTAATACCATTTTGATTAGCAAAATCAATTAAACCTCGAAAAAGTAGTTCATATTGTTCTTGTTTTTTATCACACATTGCAACATGAACAAATGGATGAATGCCCCAATCTGTACGACCATGAATTGAATATGATTGAAGAAATTTCTGTGGTGCACTTCTAAATGTACCATCAGCCAACCAATGAACACATTGACCTTTTAAAGATGAAATATAAGTTTAAAAAACAAATTTACTCAAACAATATATGAAAATAAAGAGCATAGCTTGTAAAGAAAAATTCATCAGCTACAAAAAATCATATATACCACCTTCAACCTACTCAAGAGAATATTTTGAACCAAAAGTTCAGAAGTTAATCTCTTTAATACTTAATAATTTAATGGAATCGTATTTTGTTTTCCCTTTTTTTTGTAAAATTTCTGATATGAATTAAAAAATTTTTTCAATCCGCAACTGCTTAGTAAACATGTTAAGATTCAATCTGACCAAAAAAAATGCTGAGCAGGATTTTGGGAAAAAAGGGGTGCATCAATTTCAGATTCGTTAAATATAATGGATTTTATTAAAAAGACTTTTATACGTAAAAGAAAAAAAAATATTTTTCTTTATTATTCTATGTTGAAATTTATTCGAACTTTGCCATATGACATCTTTCATTTGAATGGCTTATGAACTATGATTACGATACATTAGC